AGGTGAGGAAGAACCCGGGGAAGAACGCGTTACCAATAACATTGTGACAGCGTACTCAGCTAGAATAAATCGTTACAGAATGCGTTACCGGTGGTATGGTCACAGTGTACACAGCTATAACAATGCAATGAAGAATGCGTTACCAATTTCCTGTGAAGTTGAAGACCATTACGTATAATGTGCCACCAGAACTCCTAGTGACCAGGAGAAATCAAGATCTGTTGGCTCTTTAAAACATATCAGCGCGTTGTTGAGTGAATGTGACATAAGGTCACGCACACAGTTACTCCTCCCTCGCCCCTCTGGATCTTATTGTCTACGATCGATTCTAGTTTAGCTAAAAGGGTTTACCTGATTCAAACTCTGGTGGACTGTCATTCACGTCAGATACGGTAATGTTGACCTGGCAATCACCAAGGAAAACGTAAGTAAGAAGAAACGTTTCTTTTTTTTTTTTTTTTTTTTTTCAATGGAATGTTACCCGTGAAAAAGGAACAAGTTCCTTCGAGTCTGCACCCTCTTTTGAGGTTCCTTGTAAGTTATTTGACTCTCCAAGCCAAATCCTTGTTTTGCTAACAAAGGAACTAATGAGAGAGATATCGTTTATTCAATGAAACACACGTCTGAGAAGAAAATATCGACATGATATTGTGCTCGTTCTCCCTTCTTATAAAGCGTCGTAAATAAAATAGTTTTTACAAGGAGCCCCGACAGCGCTTCTGCTTTTACCCAATAAATAAAACAGTTATTATTTTCTTCTTTACCTTTGTAGTGGAGTTTAAAGACAATTTGCCTTCGTCTTTTGCCATGACCTGAGAAAGATAATAACAGACTCAAATAGCTGATAGGTGATGAGACAAGTTCCCAAGGAATACCCTTAAACCTAGAAGTTTAATCCAAATAAGTGAACTAGAGGCATAACGTTTGTCTTTCCTCCTCCTCCTCATTCATTTTCACTCGCTGGGCAAAAGTTTGTTTGCATATAACAACATCTCGAATCATTTCCCCCCTTTCCTCAAGTTGTGCTTTTCCCCGAAAATTTAAGTGACTCAAGTTTAGCGGAGAAAAGTTTCGCTTAAAAAGGGAAAAGAAAGTACCCCTTCCCTTCCCCTCCCCTGGTAGAGCATTTTTCGTTATATAATAGTCGATTTCGTGTTTCATTACCGTCAATAAGAATGAAGTCTCGCTTCTCGGAGGATCTCGGTCAATGGGACTTTTTACGTATATCACACCACTGAAGGCATCAATAAAGAACCTCTCAAGACTGTTACCACTGACAATGGAGTATCGCAG